CATTTCACGACAGGTATTACAATACACGACAAGTGTAATTACAATTCACGACAGGTATTACAATTCACGATATTATTACATTTCACGACAGCACACACCACTCGATAATGTGCATGTGCAAAGGAGATCGAACCACTGACAAACTACTGAACCACTGCTCTAGAATGGTAATCTTACCAACAGTTGTGATCCTTCTGGAAGCATAAGAATACATTACACACCCTGCATCATATGCGTGGCACATATGGAACCAGGGGTGGCCTATTCTTGGGAGCATCTTTGAATTGATTTTTATGAAATTTTCTAATTTTTTTGCTGCAAACAGCACAATTTCCCCTATTTTAAAGTATTTCTGGCATACGTGCACACACATTTTGGAGTCGCAACTCCTCATTTTGTGGCACATTTGGGGTCTTTAGTTGGGTACGGGAATTCCCTATCAGACCCTCAGCCAACTCATACCTCATAGTCTAACACAACCCTCCCAGATCTGTTTGCTCCCTCCCTTTCACGGTATTCAATGATAAAAGCATTGTGAATTGTCACCTTCGCCTCATGGAAAAAACACAACAGTATAACTTCACTGTTTTCCTAATACAAACTGTGTAATATCAGAGCATTTTGATCAGCACGATCGACGCCACGTGTAATTATTGTAATCTTATAGTAGGGGCTGGAAAGGCACATCTCCACTGTCCCCTCCCTCTCCTGCTGCTCTTCGCCTAACAACCCTTGCCTCAGCAATTTCCCGCAGTGGGAATTCAGGGAGGTGAATGATAGACAAAAAGTAAACAGCTTTATTGTCTAGCCACACGAAAGCAAGAAGAGGCCCACACATTCGCCATTGATATGTACTCCTGTCCAAGCCCCTGGTTCCTTCAAAAGTAATTGCCTTTCAATTGGTAAATTCTTCCTTGAACTTTTGATGGTGCCGCAAGCATAAATCGTGTTGTCAAATGTTGATAAAGATCCACGCTTGTGTAAAAATTATCAGTGTATAAATGATAGCAAAAATCCTCTAATTCAGTGCACAATTCTTTTACACCCTAGTTGCTAGTCCCACATCTGCCCTTTTCTCTGGATTTCATCCTATATACAATTGCTGCATATATTATTTGCTTGCCAAATCCGCCAAGACCCAGACTTTGATGCCAAAACGGATTGGTTTACTTGCAATAAACTGGCGGAAGGACAGACGCCCCCTCCAAGGAATCATACCTTCATCAATAGAAATGTTTTCATAAAGGTTATAAGCTCTTTCAAAGTTGCGAAAAAGCAGTCCCAATAGCGACTTTATTTTGTGCAATTTCTCATATCCTGGTTGTCCAGCAGGAAGACACCTTGTACATACATTGCATGTACCACCAAACAATGCGGGAAAGTTTCTTCGTCATTACCTGGCCCATCAACAACCTTAGTTTCTTCCCATGCATTTCGACCAATGTCTTCATCATTCGGAGTATGATAGTCAAAGAAGTTTCTGTACATCTCATCAATGATCACAGTGTTAAAGGCTTAGCCGAAGCTTATTAGACAATACATACTCCACACTCTCCTACTTAAACTCACTACATTACTGAACATTTACCATCATGCTTCAGCACTTCATCAGTTGGAGGAAATTTCTGCAAAAATTATCACAGGAAAAGCAATAGAGATTCCAAATTGGAATATCATTGGAAATTAGCAAACCCAATGTTGGACCGTTATTGGGTCACCTTTTAGGTACCAATAAATTGCTTATCAATTAAATATCAATATTATTATAACAATTAAAACCATCCTTGGAACATCATCAGTAGGCTATTAGAAAGGTAACATATCACCAATATTGGGATATTGTTGGTTCTGCAATACCGTCCACTAATATGCCTACGTAACAAGAATATACCAGGATAAAGCCATCAAACAAGCCATTCTTGAAACATTATTGGTTGATTATTGGAAATGTAACATATTGAATACCTGTATTGGGATTCTGTTGGTTGTGTGATACCAAATATATATCAAAAAAATACCAGCATCAACCTAATAAACAAACCATCCTTGGAATATTATTGGTCAATTATTGGTCAATTATTGGAAATTTAGCATGGAATATGGAATACGAATATTGGAATGCTGTTGGTCTAAATACCATTCAATACCATTAATTTACCAAGAAAATACTAATATTAACCACACAAGAAATATTTTATTCAGAACATCAGATAATGTTTTATGACTCAGTTTATGTAGTTTGAGAAGACTCAACACATGTGCCAGTAATTTCAATGAAATGTGATTACAACTTTTGGTGGCACAGTCTTAGAAGAGCGAGCACGCCACCCGAAATGGACGCCATGGACACGCTCGTGAGTGAATTAAATGCAGGAAGACTTAAAGCTTGCTCGGCCAACTGCTCTTGCTTCACGGCGTTGGAGATAGTGGCCAGGAGATGGCTGGTCATGTAGGCGTGATGACAGGTGAACAATTAGGAAGATTAGGAGGAGCCATGCTAGAATCCAGTGTTGTATCATCAGATCGCGGAGGATTCCCTCAGAATCCGGCAAGAGAGACAAGGCATCGAGGCTGTTATGAGTGCTTCTGGTGTTCTTGCCGAGGACGTAAACTTTCAAATAGCATCACAGAGAGCAATAATCCGAGCAAGAATCCACAAAGATTCGCTAGAATGAGCTGCAAATGATC